GAAATCGCAAAAAAACGTTAGTTACAAGTATGATATTTGTTGCATTCATCGCGCGTTTACAATCGTGCAACCGAATATCCCGAATGATTCGAGGGATGAAGATTAGTCAGCGGAGCGTGCATTGTTCGACCTTATCCGAGGAAGTCGAGCGTTCTAACGTAAATGGCCGATGTCAAAGTTTCCATCGATAGATTGGTATTTATAGCTGACCTGTATTTCATTTAACCGAAACTATCGGCCGCTTTGTTGGCAGAGTGACGGCTTAATGAAGCTTCCTCCGGGTAGCTTTGTTTCAACCGGAAGGCGGTAGCATGTAAGGGGTGCCGAGAGACATGACAAGCGAACGATGTCCGAGATAATCTCGTGATTGCCTTCGGGCCTCCAATTACACCCTCGACACGAACCGTATGGGGATCTCAAGATTACCTCTTTTGCGAGTTTATAATTCGTTTCGGATCCATCAGCCCTTCTGGCTGTTAATCGTTCAACCGCAACCCACTATCCTTCGTAATACGCTTATAGCTACGTATCTCTATACCGGAATGTCCGCAAAAATAGCGATTCTAACTAACTCTATCTATTACTCTGTAATATCGATTCGTTCTTTCCAAATTTCCGCGTCACGATCAAACGTATTCTCTGGTACAAACAAGTCTCGTAGCGAAGTACCTTCGATAAAAAGTTTAATAAACATCGGAACGATAGAAGGAAAATGAAGTCGAGCCCGCAAATGCTAAACGTTGAATGGTTTGGATATAGAAATTGCAGCCATATTCTTATTGCTGATAGGCTGTGTAAACGCGCTACTAATTAGCCCTTTGACGTCGTTGATGGCAATTACGGCTGCAATTACGGTTGGTTACCGAATTTCCAGAAACTGACACTGACGACCAGTCCCCTTTCGCGATTCAACATTTATCAATATTTTCTCTTCAATCTGTCTTATTTCCGAGTTATTATTTAAATCAACGTTTCCGGTCTGGCCGAAAACAATCAGGAAATTCGTCTGCAAAAGTTGATCGTGAAAGTGCTAAACATAAATGAGAAGGGAGGCTCTAAATCGTAATAGCTGGCGAGTAGCAGATACAAGAAAGAGCCAGAGTGGAAAGTAATTTCTAAACTGGGACGAGTTCACGGACGAGATTCGTTCGTTTGTTTATTCGTTGTTGTAAAAGCATCGAGATCGAACTCTAACGTTAGTTGCAAAGTTCGTAGCTTGCGTAGGTTTCTCTTTTCTTGTCTTGATTATTTATGAAGCCGGAAATAGGTTCTTCGGAGAAGAAACGTTCGAACGTCAGGTCAGTTGGAAGGTTAATAATTTGCAGGCCAAAGATGCTTTAGAAAAGTTACCATCTTTCTGATTTGTTGGGAACTTCACCGTTTGAAAATTATTTCTGACGGCAGTCGAGAAGTTAACTTTTTCAAAAAAATAATTTCTGGATATTCGGTTCTGCGATATTTTATCGCGGTATGTTATCGTCGGATAACGGGAATAATTAAAGGGACATCTAGGTACCGTTCGTGTACGGAATAACGCGTGGTCGAGAAAAATAGGATGAGGAGCACTTCGCAAAGAAGAGGCGTAAGTATACTATTTTTCGGACCAAGTTCTTCAAATGCACGGGGCCACGATAGGAAAACTGCTGTTCCTGGACAAGTGAGGCGTGAAATTGAGGATTTCTACTTTGCTGTAACAGCAGAAAACACTCGTATGCTCTTCCTGTTCCGTGGTTCGTCTTTCTCGTCAAAGCTCGCTGACAATCTTTTATCAAAAGTTGCACTTTGGATTACGGTCAATATTCACGTACAAATTCCCTATAAAATCATTCTATACAAATCTGTCGAATAAAAAAAAAATAAGAAGAGTAGCGAGTTTCTTCCTTCGTACTCTTTTTTAATCAAGGAAAAAGAGAAAATGTCTGGTATACAGTGTTAAGCATCGTTATTTTATTGAAAAGTTAGAACAGCAAACTCGCAGGAAGATGGCATAGCTAGACGCAACTATGCGAGCAAACTTCCCAGGTACAATGTCCAGCTAACTATGCTTAGAATGATGTGAACTGCGCAATGTTTGCTCCAATATACCGACAGCAGGAACTGCGAACTGCAAATCGTCGCTGACGAAATCAGATTAGAAGGCGAGTTTACTCGACTGTCCGACTTTACTCGAGTTATACGTCGACGACGACGAGTGCGACGCTCTGATTACTTTGAAACTTTCTACGAATTTCTATATTCGTAACGTTATTTGCTCGATGAAATTGCGATTTCATGCGGTTGAATGGGCTCTAAAAGTGTTCCCGTAGGTTCGTTCCGCGCGAAAACGCGAAAAGCTGCCAAGATTTCGAACGCGCGAACGGCCTTGAGCGGCCTTGATGGGGCCGGGTTCAGACGCTCTTCGATTTCAACTGTTTTGCAGCGCTTTATTACATGTTTATCACGTATCGTTCGCGAAAGCTCCGAGTTATGGTCCCGCGACTAAATTCGATTAACCGCAACTTTATACCGCAAACTTTTAAGACGGTCATAAGCAAGTGGCGCAGGCTGAAGAAATTTATGAAGGTAACGAGTTACGAGGCTATAAATGTCCGAGTTAGATTAAAACTATAGCTCAAAAATTGTATACAACAATGCTGAAGGGGTGTTCTTGAGCACTGGATTAAATGCAATAAACTTCTTATCTGTATAACCGTTGTACGTCGTCAAGTACTTACTACATTGTATAATTTTACTACATCTTTCTACAAGTTTTCGAGGTTTATTGAAAAGCAAGCATTTTAACACGAATTACTCTTTCGATCACCCGCACAACGTTAACTTTGCGTAACTATCGGCCGCGAGATAAGCTAGGCGCGAACACGTTCGGATGTGGTTAAAAAATTTGGCGAATTTGATCGATTACAGAGGGTGACAGAAGGCGATCGGGACGACTGGTGTAAAGGGGAGGTTCCCGACGTAAAGTTGTCAAGAGCGAATAAAGAGAGTACCCGTATAAAATAACAACGGCAGTAACGCGTACATTTTTCTCTCCTACGCTAAACTTTGCTTATGGTACTCTCGAGGACGCGACGTATGACATTTCTTCTAATGATGTAAAAGCGTAGTTACGCTCCGTTGTTCCCACGAAAACATTAGTTATTATTATTGCTAGAACTTTAAACGCAAATAAAATATCCTCGAGTCTCATCAGCATTTGTATAAAACGCGAAAGTAACAGCGTGGAAACAGGAATAAACACGAGGAACGCGAGAGAAAAAGGAAGAGCAACGGGGCGTTGGGGTCGTGGTTGACCAGGAGTTTCATGATGCGACGGGTCGAAAATGAGGGGAAAAGAGAAAGGGGTCTGCGTCGATGTGGATTTTGCGACACGAAAGACCACATTCCACAGCATGCTGGCTCTTTGTTTCGTTAATCTCACCGGTGGCCCGTAGATAAAGCCGAGGTCGCTAGTTCTAAACTCGCCCTGTCGTTGCTCAGGGCCGTTATGTCAAACCGTAGCAACAACGAAAAGCAGAGGAGTTATATTGTACTTAGACGTACACGGCGAAGCGAGGCGAGACGAGGCGTACAAGCCTAGGACGTTATTACGCCTTCGGCAACCTATTCAAACTTCTCACCCCTTTCGACGAACGCGACCGTACACCCACGTGCCAATCATTAGTGGTTGTTCCTCCTTTCTTGTCGTCACCTTCGTCTTTACATCTCGTTTTCGCGCGTACTTAACACGTTTGCCGTCACCGCGGAAATGATCATACGCGCTTCCGAAAGTGTATTCCAATCGGAACTATCGAGTCTCTTATATTTTCGCGACGATACAGCGAGAAGGACGCTTCGTTGGAGGATGGAAAAACGATGGCGCTACTATCCGTGTCACGCAAGCCATTACATGGAGGATATATTCGAAGGAAACTGCTGGATCAAGGGGAATGGGTTAAAGCGGCAAGAAAGAATGGAGTATCCAACGTCGATACCCAAAGGGGACTCACGGTCGATAGATCACGCATCTAAGTGCACTAAATGTCTCTTTCTTCCGAACGTTGGTTATTATACGGCAACCTGCGGTTGGTTTTTCGCGTAGAACACATTTGTCAAGACCGAGCCACTGCCAGTACCCATTCTAACCTGTCACGCTTTCAATGCGAACACGCGTTCGTGACGCCGCTTTATGCGTTAATCGCGCTAATTTTTCATTCGGTTCGAAATATATCCTTTTCACCGATAAAATTCAATTTCTTCGTAACGCAACAGCGAAAAATGATTTTCAATGTATTATCACGTTTCGCCTGTTACATCATACCATACCCGAATGGTTGTACAATTATTTGTTCTTTTTCATCGAAATCATATTTTCTCTGTACAATTTATAATTAAAAACATGAAAACTGGCATAAATGATACGCGCACAAATTTGTTGAAAGTATCAAAATACATTGATTGCGAAAGAATAACAAAACGGAATTGTTTTTCATTTTCGCGTAATACCGATAATGTTATAAAAATGCTGCGAGCGACGAGTATTTTTTTTCTTTTTTTTCGTTATCGACATAGGGATTGCTACTTTTTTTTATCAATTCACTCGGAGTCGTGTCACCGACTCCTCCTTTATTTACCGGTGAAATCACTTTTAACAGCGAGTGCGAATAGTCTCGCGTTATTTTATTAAAATTGAAGCATGAAGGTATCGATAACGGTTTGTTGTTTTCCAAAACAACCCGTTGTTTATTTTTTTCACGGACTACTGTATCGATTTTTCCGTTCGGCGCAATAAAATTGGAGAGTAATCGAAAAAGCCTGTTTTCAGAAGAAATAATATTGTTTAAAGAGCAACAAACATATGGCTAGCCTTCGTTGAAACCAAATCGGTCGATTGCAACGTTTACCTTCGCGCGTGTAATAATAAAGAAACTGCTTTCGTATTTAAAGCTTATATTGCACAGATTTTCAACTTTCGTATACATGCAATTGATCTAGAAATTAATCTTAACGTAAAAATCACTTACCCATAGTTCTAACTTCCAGTCGATTTTTGCCGCGATGCTTCGACTTCCGTGCACGAGGAAGACTAAACTCGTTCTTAAATCCTTCGAATAGACGAAAGCGGAAAGGCGATAACGTCACGCGTGATTGACAATCGACGACATACTCGGTAAAAATCTGATCGTACTTTGTGCGCTCGTCTCCCTGATAACACTGTCCGTAGAATATATATTAGCACTCCGTGCATCCGTCTCTTTCTTCGCTGCGTGTGGTGAATTAACGCGAATGTCGTGGGGCGTTGATTCGAAAGGCGGATGCGACCAATTACAATAGCGACATTATTTCATGACTTAATTGTTTCACGTGCAAAACTCGTGAGACCATCGTGTTACGAACAGTTTCAATACACTGCTAATTATATTGATATCGTAAATACAAACGTTATGTTTTGAGAGATTACGTGATCAAGTCCGTATGGAATGCAAATGTCAACGAGCCTTTATTTATCTACGGTACAGTTTGCGATGCAACGTATTATAATTCCAATGTCTCTTCAAAATGAGACCAACATCGCGTTTTGAATGTATGTCAAAGCTAATTTACAATTTGTTAACAGTTTGACGACAATTGATGACAATTTGAACCACGGATTTAAAGAAAACGGATGAAGGCATTTGAGAAACGTTTTAACGCAAGTTTTAAAAGCGGCTTTTCTTCCGGATAATACACGAGAGTAGGACAAGTTGAGCTGAGTTTTTTAAATAGTTTTCTGAAAGACGGTACTAACGAGACTAATGATTACATTCTTGCTTGTTCAGTACAGGATACGACAGACTACCTCGTTCGGGCTTGTTTTTATCGTTTCCCTCATCTACGAGGAGTTTCAGTAAGAAGTAAAGTTATTTGTGTCTGGGATCTGGAAACAGCGACATTAGACATCCTAAGCGAAATGCAAAAGATACAATTATAAGAGTAATTGTCGTCTCGTTTGTTTTCTCGGTTCTCCAAATGGGATCGTTACAAAGTACTGCTTGGGTCCGCGGCGGTAGAAAAGGGAGATTTGAAGGACAAGAGGGAGGGACAAAGAAGCCAAGAGTATGTTTTTCTCACGTAATTAGCCATTTCGAGAAAGAAACTGCTGCGTATAAGAAAAGGAATGATACTGTCGAGAACACAAAAAAGGACGTTTGTACCGAAAACGGGCAAAATAATTAACCTTGCCACCTTCGTTTAACGGCGAAGCTCTTTTCGAGCTTTCAAGACACGTACAACGTTTAACCTCTCGACGCGTTGATTGTTGGCGAAACTCTGATTTAAACGAATATCGTTTCGAAGATTAAGGCGCAAAATCTAATTTCCACCAGACGCGTATAAAAGTTTTTGCTTAATAAAACGTTTAATTAGTTTTAATTTTAAAGCGAAGTTCTTTGAAAGAGTAAAACGAGCGCGTCCGTCGAGAATTACAAGACGCAGCTTTCTGCCGGATAATAATTATTCGTGCTACATTTATCCGGTTTCAATAAAATATGAAGATTGCGCCGGTTAGGGAGGAGGAAACGAATAATTTGAAAGGAGAAATGTAAGGAAGTCGCGGTAGTTAGACACAAGAAAAGTAGGAAAAGTCTTGGTGGCTGAAACGACGGAAGATGGAAAGTTTGCTGGTCGGGTTTGAATTCGTCCATGTTAAACGTAAGTAGAGCAACAGAACGCAAAGTGGAGCAGTTCACGGGGAGGAATAGTTCTCAAAGAAATATCCACGTAATACATGACTTTGCTTTAAATTGCACAAAGGTGCCGTTAGCGATATAACATTTGGCGCGAACACATCTGCTGTTTGGCGCGACGCGTCGTGATCCGTAATACGGTAGGTTTTTCTTTGAAAAATACCTACAAAGAGAGGGTGAGAAAGGTTTTTCTTTGTACAACATTTTTTGGTCGTTTACGCGACAGTGCATTGCGTATTCTGTGTCTCGTGATTACACGCGAAAAATCTTTCCGTGAAAACATGCAAACTACTACGATCTTATCGAAGTATTATTTCTTGTATTTTAATAACTCTTATATTACGACCGAAGATGAATGTCTTAAAACTAAGAACGTCATTGTAAAATATTGAAATATGAGTTGGCACTACAAGGCGTACTATAGAAAGATCAACGAACCAGAAGGAACATTGCAAAATTTATATTGCATAGACTACGAGTTTCGAAGATTTCCTCCGTTTGCGCTATAGGCATTGTATTTGCAAATTGTTGAAATAATTGAGAGAATAGAGAACGAAGAGTAAAGGAACAGAAGCGAGCAGAAGGAAAGTTTGGAAGGAAGCGCGGGGAAACAAGACCGCACTACCATTCGTAGCCTCGTGAACTTAACCGACAAACTTTGCAACTTATTTCTTCCATGAAAATGCATCACGCCAGATCTACGGACACCAGAATACAGGCGTGAAAGTACTGTAGCGTTTTCGAACAAGATTACCGTGTAATAAGATTTACAGAACCTCCGGTATATTTTTTTTAGCCGCGGATAAATCTTCTCGCGGAGAATTATCGGAATTTTCTTGTGTTTCCAACTGTCGTATCTAATTCTTCACCTTGTTATTACTTAGCTTATTTTCGCTAGTTTAATTTTGTCACGTCCATCGAAAACGATAGAGATTGCACGTTTTTGAAACGGATTCATAAAAGTTATCGAAATACGTACGATGTCAAAGAGTGAACACGTTAAATCGGAAAGATAGGTCGATAAATTCATGTTACTCGCACGATGATGTTGCATCTACGGCTGTTTACCATTTACAGCGTAAGTTTTATACGCTACGATAAGTAGTCAACCCGACTAAACTTCCAACCAGGGAAAACTAGTTTAGAGAGTAAACTTCGGTGCAAAGTTTGTAACTCGTTTCTTCTTCGAGGATACATGATTTGGCGAGAGACTTATAGGTTTCCGCTTAAATTGAAATACTTGAATGTTCTCGCGAAACGAATGAATACGAGTACCTTGTTAACCCAATCTTCTTTTTCTGCCGAAAAATCCGGAACATAGAGAAAACATTCGTCGAATCGAAAAGCTTTTCATGGTCGACCTGTATTGTTTGACGACGTATGCTTTTTTTCAAAAGAACTTTTTTACAATGGAGAGATCTTTTTAAATTTTTCTGTCAGCGGTATCCATTTCGTAAGCTTTTTTTTCGCGTATTCATTTCCTGCAATGTACGGTATTAAAAGGGAACAGTACGTAACAATTCTTTTAAAGGGGGAAAAAATTGAATGATTCTAGTCACGTTGTTTGTAAAGCTTTGCGTTACTTTACTAGAAGCAGAGAATATGTAATATTTTTTCTATAGGAGAATGATCCGTCGTATGAATAAACGCCAGTTTCAGTTTTTCCACGGAATGACTGACGTTTCGCCAAACATTCAATTCGCCAGTTTCCGCTAAAATTAATACCAACGCGATAACGCGAATAAAAAATAAATAAAACTGCAAATTAAAAAATATTTTCATTTTACATTCGTTTCACGTTCCTTGCATTATATGATTCGCTAGAACGCTTTTCTTATGCAAATAGGAGTTTCGTATTCGACGGAACGCAACGTTTTTATAATTTTGAACAATTTTCAAGCTTCGATACGCTACGTATAGATTAACAATTGACAAATTGGAATTAAAGTCGAAAATTGTTCAAAGGTTTCAATGCATTAAATGTAAATTGGCACGAGGATAAATTTAAGCTTATGCTTATGGGGTATGCTTTGATAAAGAATTAATATACTGTTGCAGTTGAAAACCATTGAACCGTTTAAACGCGCTAAATTTAAATGGAAGCGCTGACAAAACCAGCAGACTGAATTTTACCGTGGCCACGATATCGATTTATAAAATATTTCGTCGAGGATATTCGCAAATATCTTCTTATACATGATACATGTTCCCCAGAAATAAACATATGTATTTACCATGCATTCGTAGTTTTCTTCGGGCAGAGTTATATCGGGTGTTTCTCTATCGAACTTTTCGCTCTTTGCGTTCAATTTCTTTAGTTTAGTTTAGCAAAGAATGTTACATTCAGATCGAACAAACAATTCTCGAACGTAGTGGTACATAGTCGTCGAGATTCGAGACGGAAAGAAAAATCGGACGATCGATTAAAAGCAAATATGTCTGTCCTGTAACGTAACCCGGTGAATCTGTAAATAGCAGACATTCAAAACGTTTGGAATAAAGGAACCATGGAATAAATTTTAGGGTTGAATCGTGTGCCCGGAAAGATCGCGAAAGGGTATTTCCGAACTCGAGAAGTCCCGATTGAAGGATATCAATGAGGAGACCTTAAACCGAGCCCCGCCAACCGATAAAATTCTAACAGGAAGTACAGAAATTCCTTGAAGTATATCCACGATCGAAAGAAGCTATAAGCGCCGCCATTTCTCGAAAGATGAAATGAAATGCGTATTGTCAAAATTATTCGTCACGAATCCAACAAACGAGAACAAATATGGCAAGTATAATAATATTTTTCTGCCAAGTATGCTAAAAGAACGATATCGATACGTCGATTAATTTGAAAATACACACATGTACGTAAATATCAATCTAATTAATTAATTAATATATTATGGGCAATGCATATTCGGGTTAAATTATAATTTATACCAATAATTTATCGAATAGGACAATAAACGATGACGATATTAGAGGAAAACGGCTAATATCGACAATTCATTTCCTATTTATTGTTAAATTCTGCAATTTCATCCGTTTACCTTTACAATAACAACCGCGTTATTAATTTCGTAATATCCTATGAATATTCTGTTGTAATGAAAATTACATCGGCAATTGATAGCGTTCGGAGGGTATACTTGAATAATTACGTATCGTGGAAATACAATTAAATTCGATTAAAAGAATATCGATATGGCTTTTAAACCGTTATACTTTTCTTTCGCCAATTAAAGCTATGCACGAAATCAACGCGAAATTACCATGGTAGGTTAATAGGAGTAAAAACTGGCTTCGGCGAAGTTTGTTACATAAAGGGTTAATTACTTAGGCGATTAAGCCGGCCAGATAATAAGGCGGAGGGGTTAAACAACCTGGTTGATCGATTTAGCTTCTCCCACTTCATTCATTACTCGTTTGAACCGTCGGGTCACCGATAAATATTTGTACCGTTTCAAACGTTCTATTAAATTCTTCTTCGCGTGCACGTTTCATAGTTTTAGTCAGAGTTTTCTTCGACGTTAATCATTTTTACATTTGTTATAGGAATTAATTCGGACAATTCGATCGTTTCAATCAAGTTACTCGTGAAATTCCCAAAATAACTATGGATTTACCGATTGACCTAAGGTACGCGTCTCTTTAACGAGAAATAAAAAGAATCTTCGTCTTTCCGATAGATTTTAACAATGTATCAGGGGAGAGCGGTAATCTAGATTATCCGAGTAAAACTGTACGATTTATTGATCACCCATCACCGGCACAGACGACATTCAGTAAGTATCGTGTAATAATAAATTAGAACGTTTCATCTTCGTCGGTCAAGGGACTCTAAGACCGAAAAAGATCCTACGCCGAGGGACTCTATCACGAACGAAAGTAAAGCGGACCAATCCGAAGCGAAATCGACACCTCTGATTAGCCCCGAGAAAAAGGAGAGCCCTGTGAATCCTTACAATCGAGCGGATTGGTCGAAAATGAACACGAAATGGCCACTTCCGGACATGGACGACAACGAGATCAACAGCGTTAACAGTTTGTCGCAGCTTGACTGCGGTCCATTTCCGAAATCGTACATGGACACGTGTTCCTGTTGCCCTCGGGACATCTTTGACAAGCACGATGCCGACACATTCACCAATTACAAGGGTATCGCGTTCAAAGATGCCTGCTGCAAAATCCACTGGACGAGGAAGGAACGTTATCAAAATATTAAAGCGAAAGTCGATAGAGCCATCAAGGTAACAGCTTTTCGCTGTTTAGACACTTTTGCAAATATCCGAATTTTATACTTCGTTTAATGCAACGATGGTATAGTGGCCTTAGGTTATTGTCGTTCGATGTTCACGAACCTATCTTACTACACCATTACATTTTCAAATATTACATTGTATTTATTATTAAAATATATTTTGAAAAGCGTGACACTATCGCTTTTCAGAGGCACAAGATATTTTTGATACGCGGCGAATTGCCGAAATTGAAGGAAGCTCTGGAGAAAAGAGGTTGGGTACAGAAATACGAAGCCACAAAAACAAGAACTCTACCTTACGGTTAGTTTCCTTACCGAGCCTTAATTAACTTCTTCTTTCTTTCCTCACATTTCACTAGTTTAATTAAAAATTAACCGCACGTACCTAGACGAAATATCTAAATAGAATGGTATCCCGTTTAATAGAACTTTTTCGCCAATTTTTCCTATCACAATTTCCAGATTTAAGTTTACCTTGGGAAATGGTTAATGTCGGTTAGTTAAATTTTCAGGTAGCGTGGCGAGCTTAGAGGCGAGATCGCTGGGCGACTTAACCCAACACGATGGCTCGCTGAACGAGAAAGCGGTGATCTTTGCTCTGTTACGTCACAAATCTCCAGACTTTATATGGGACTGTCGAAACGATTTCGTCGATTGGCATCGGGGATTAAGCAGCAACACCATTCTTAACAGATACCAGAAACCTTCCATCTACACTTCCAAGGTTAACGTTGTCTCCTCGGTTTAAAACGTTTCTTGCAAAGATGAAAAACGAGCTGGAAGAGTTGCGTAGAAAAATTAATGTAATATCTTATTGTACCTAACTCGATATCGATCCGAGCTGAAATCGCGTATTCTCCGCTGTTCTTCATCCATGTAAGAAAATCAGCGTACACGTATCGACGAACGAAACGAGTTAAAGCTCGTCGACCAAATAATTTAGTTAGGAATGGCACGGTTGCTAGAAGAAGCTCACTGGTTGTACGAGAAGGACGTGTCGAGCGTGTTGTTCCCTCGCAGTTACAACTTGAGCAGAGAACCGAAAGCGTTCCTCGATGATTTTCGTTTGACCGCGGCAGCCGGTTTGCTCAAGTGGTTCGTTCAAACAATGCAAAATGACCAAGCCGTGACACAGAACCAGGGACAACGTTTCATTCCAATGAGTCGGTTGGAATTTGCCATAAAACGTTGCGAGGAATTTATCGCTTGCGAAAATCACCAGAACATAGATGAAGAGTTTGACATCGAGCTTTCGGAAGAGGAATGGAACTCCTTTCTTGACGATTATGCCGCGGCTGTACACGATTCCGCAACAATCGAAATTACTTCCGAGAGAAGCGGAGAACAGTTACAAGTACCGTAGATTCTGTTAATGCTCGAGCATCGCTTTAATTTAATCGATATTTTCCATTTCTAACGAAAGAAATTTTTATCGAGTACGATCATTGTTTGAATCAGAATTAATATCGTACTTATTTCGTTTAATTTCGACGTCGGTTTGCGCGTGTACAAAGGTAAAAGCAAACGTCAGAAAATTAAAAAATGAAGTTCAGCGTTTGAATCGAACCGCTTTGTCCCTGAAATTGAATTCACTTTGATTAATTTCGACACGGGCGTGTCTTTCATTTTGCGAGCTTCTGACGTTTACTTCAGCCTCGGATTACCTCGCTCGTAAATCCATCCTACGCTCCGATTTATTGCGTAAAATCGTTTGCGTGGCGCCCCTTTGACCAATATCCGCTTGCGTATTCCGCGCAGAAGTATCTCGAGGTGACAAATACGGCGTTGTCGAAATTGAAAGATGTCGATCCACAGTACGAGTTGAACGGAATGCGAAATATCTGGATTTTAAAACCGAGCGAACTTTGTTGCGGAACCGGAATCAGTATATCTCATAATCTCAAGGACATATTCCGGAGAGTGAAGAGTAGACCAAAAGATTATTTCATCGTCCAAAAATACATCGGTAAGCTATGCGTCGATTAACATTTAAGCCAAATGTTTTTGTATCGATGCCATGAAATTTTCCAGAACGTCCTTTGTTGATTCACGAAACGAAGTTTGACATAAGGCAGTGGTACCTCGTCACCAGCACGTTCCCTATGACTATATGGTTGTTCAAGTAAGCGAATATGTGTTTTTATTAACGAGAAGAATAGTTTCTATGGACGAGATCCTATTTTGAAAATTGAAGTTCGATCGAACGAGTTATCTGAAAATATACAGGACAAAGGAAAACGAAAACACAATAAAGAAAATGTATTATTAAACGCGTTTATGAGAGATACTTTCTGAAAAGATTTCTTAAAAGTAGCGGTTCTCAAATTTTTCTGGAAAGCACTTCTCTGGTCTAGGTTCCTGTAGATTCCATCAAAGAATTTTTCCGATCCTTTTCTGTCCTTTTCCATCAGGGAAGGACTGCTTCGGTTCAGCTCGAAGCCGTACACCTTCTCAACTTATCACGAAGCGATTCATATCTGCAATACCGCCATTCAAGAGAAGTACGACGAAGAAAGAAGGCGAAGGAGGAAACGTGGAATTTCGGAGGAAATCGTAAAGACGATCCGTGATCAAGGATGGGACTGCGACAAGCTGAACGAATATTTAAAGTAATCTCTCGACCGGTTTTCGCTGTTCGTTCCTCGTGTTTGACGATAGCTCGCTATTTAAGTATTCTACGTGTCGAATATTCGGTTCGACGATACTCGGTATCGATTGAAACTTGATCGCTCAGCGAAAGTTCGATTAATATCGTTAACGCGAATTAATTGATTCCGTACGATCTCGTCGAACGAAATTTTATGACCACTAGGCAAACGGGATACGAGGGCGAACCGTATTACGAGAAGATCTATCCGAAAATGGCAGAAGCTATAGTTCTAACGATGCTGGCCGCTCAAGAACACATGGACAGACGGCGATGCAGTTTCGAGTTGTACGGTGCGGATTTCGTCGTGATGGAGGACCTTTCGGTCTGGTTGATCGAGATCAACACGAATCCTAGGATGCATCCGCCAAGCTCGAGAATCACTAAACGCTTGTACTCCAACGTGCTCGAGAGCTTGGTTAAAGGTTAGCAAACTACGATTCCTGGAGGGATTCGTAGACACAGACGAGTTGTTGGAAATCGAGGCTGCGGGTGAAAGTTTCCTAGGTTGATGGTCAAGACAACGGGTAGTATATGTCTCGGGCTTCCTCGCGAACACTTCAACAAGCTTTTGAAATCGTCTACTATCGACTGTCGGTTCCTGGCTTCTGATTAAACAACTTTGCTTCTACGGCATATTACGCGAACAGATCAGACTTTCTTTTTGTCGCGATGTTTCGTTCACGGTTAATTAAATTCCTTGCAAACTCGGTCGAGCAAAATCGGTTCGATTCATAGATTCGTATTAATCCTTTCACGAATCGAAGCAAGCGCATCTCTTATTTACGGTCCTATAATTGGAACATTATTTTGTCGCAATTTGAAAAATATCAAAGTTTCGTTCGAACCTTTGACGCTTTCAATAACGATACAGCAATTACGAGAAAAGTTCAGCTCTTCCGGCGCATTCTCGGTCTCCGACGGGAGACCTTTGATGTATTAAGAATCTCATTTTTGTAAGTACGCGGTCAACCATTGATACGAACCGAACAAACATAAATAACTAAGTGAAACAAAACCCGGAACGTTCTCAAAGAATGGTTTCAGCGGCGATTCTGTAACAACCGGTGCACTGAAAACGTACCGGTACGCCGTGATATTTAGAAAGATCTAAATACACAACAGTTGTTGGAAATACGAGTTGAAAGGGTTGAACGCGGAACAAAGCAACGATTCGCGATCGTGTACAGAGCCGACCGCAAACGTATATGTACGAAATGCACTCGACCTCGTAACGACGGCGAGAAAAAAGAAGAGAACAGAGAAGAGAAGGGACGAATTGGGGGATGAAAAAAATCGAAACAAAAGGAAAAACGGGGCAAATTGTCCGTTATAGCGGGTGATCTTCAATTTGTTTCAGTGATAATGGACGTGCCGGTGAACGCGGTTGCGGATACAGGTGGATTCAGTCTGGTCTACAAGCAAAATATACCCGACTTTCGGCCTTATCTCGGTCCTTGCCTGTTCGTCTTCGGTAAGTCGATAACGTTGCAGGAGCATCCGCGAAAGCGGGATAAAAAGAAGAAGTCGAATGGTGCGTCCAAGCAGCAACAACAGCAACAACCACAGCAACTACTGCCGCAACTACCACAGCAACCGCAACACCGTGCATGGACTGCTCCGCCAATGATTCCACGTTTGAGAGAACCGAAAATAGTCGACTTTATCGACTACTTGAACACCGCCCGCTGCACTGCCGCCAACTGATGCGCCTGCTTGTTATCGTCGATGCATCCACCCAGCTAACCTACAGACTGTTTCAACGAGAGCGCGCCGTACAAAATTTACCGATTTCTCGCGCTCAAAGAAATTCGGAAGATCTCGACCATTCGCAGGTCGAAGGTTTACGTTTTCAGGATACGAGCGATTCAAAATTTCTACAGGCTGAGAAACGCGTGTAAAATACCTAAGCGTACTCACTGTGGACGTCGTTGAACGATCAGAGACCGATTATATTAGAGTTTATTTGCCTAGAGGGTCGCAGGTGAATGACCCATCACTGTTTAGTAGTACTTGAACACGCGCGTACACGTATTTACTAGGGTCGTTGATTCGAACCGAGTGTCTCACGGGTACCCTCATATCTCGTAAATCAACAGTTTGATGGCTCCTTGTACGAGAGTATCTTTGTAACCGTGTATCGATTATTCCCGGTTTTATCAATTTCCTAGAAAGCGCTTCGATAATTATGCGCTCGACTCTGAATCGTTCGTATCTTGCGAAGCGTGAAACTTTTCTAGCAAATGGAAATTTCTACGGATCGATAGCTTTCTGATTTCCGAGGTAACTTATGCGAGAAAAGTCGGATGTATCGCGGAATAGTATATGAACCCAAGGCAGACGAAGCAATTAACGTTGTCGTGAACTGGTGCCGTTGTCTCAGCGACGTCGTTTTTTTCGGCAACATCCTCCCAGAAATACCGGGTAAAAAAGAGAATCCAGTATTCGTGCAAAGTCTTTTATATTGTTCGCGGTAGAGTAGGGACGAACAGTGCACAGAAGTAACGCTTTGTCTTCGCGAAGCGCACGCCAAGTACGCGTCCGAGAAAAAAAGAATGTACCCTTTTCCGTGAACGAACGTTTTATATAAAATATTTTGCTGTGCACCACATTTCCTAAGTATTATACCGTGGAAATACAAAAGGACTTCTCGTTAAATTTGTAAACCAAGTATTTCTTCATACCAATTAACGAACGAGAACAAACGAAATAAATCGACAACGTTTAACGTTTTAATACGATCTTCGTTGAAAAATAATGCTTATAAAACGCGGCGAGAACATAATTTTCAATAGACGGCACATCGAACAGAAAAAGAATTCAAAATTAAAGACAATCGTTTTATTGATATGTACATACAGTAAATTTATTTACAAATAATACAATAAATTTTGACGTCGTAAGTTTATTCGTTCTTGATGATATATCTTAACAAAATACTACACTCTTACCGATTATTGTGCCGTGCTGATATTCGAAAACTCTTTGGTCACGGAAATTTAATGTAAATGTAGGTAATATCCGGTTTTACCCTGCGCAAATATATACCCAAAGAACGTTAACGATCATGGGCGATGCGATTCGATCGAATCGCGCTGTATTATCGTATCGGGTATGTATTTTATCTTTTCTTCTTTCGTTTATTCTTCCACTCTTCTTCTTATATAAATATTACGTTAGCTACTATTAAAATTATAAAACAGATCGGTCGTGTCTTGGCGTACGAAGAACTTCCATCTCCGTGATGCATGGCAGCCGGATGTTCTTCTGCAACAGAAACGTTATCTTCGAATAGTATAAAATTGTCCAGCTTCGAACGAGCCAATTTCGCAATGTCAACGATTTCCGCTAATTTCGTCAAATTCCATTACGGCTGACGGGGAAAAGAATCTGTATACAGACATATTAAAAATCCGATAAAACAATTTCTCACCGCGCGTGAGTTTACGATGAGTCGATTGTTATCGAGGGAACGAAAGTGAAAAGTTTTACCTGAGAAAATCAAGCGACCAGAAAAATAAAAAGGACAAACGAAGACCATGAAAAGCGGTGCGTAAACCCGATCAAGCGTACTAAACGATATTATTTCCCCTGTCTCGTTAACTTTTCTTTTCAGACACATCGAGCGTTGCGGTTTAAAGGCGTCGCGTCGCGCGAGTGCAACGATTCGAACAATTAAGAGAAAGAACGCGAACAGACGTTTGTGAGCGGACCAGTCAGGACGATGACGGTAATAAATCAGCGTCGCGCACGACGTGTCGCATCGATCTGCATTCGCGTCAGGCTTACCTGATGCCGTGCGGGCCATTGTATCGAGCAATTAACGCTTGAAGTTGATAAATAACGTACCGGAAATTTGGCTTAACTTATTTCGAATTATCGTTCGATCCACGCGTTCGCTTTCAGCCAGTGATAAGACACTCCTTAATAATTTATACGTTACAGGGGGAAACGATTGTTAGTCTGTTCTCGGCAACGTTGTCCTGCCAGCGGACCGTGTACTCGGACAAAATTCGCGGAAAATCACGAGTCGGTCATTTGTACGTAGCACGTACAATACCGTGATCCGCTAATCGGATTAAATCGAGTCAACTTCGCGCGTCTTATCCGTGCGACGACACGCCAGATGTTTCGCTTCGAGGGCCTTTCAGCGGTTAGTTGGATCGCGGTGACAGTCGAGTCCAGTACAGAATCGTAACGCTGTCGATTTCGAAGAACTCGAGTGAAATATTTAACTAAAGATCGATCGGTGGTCGGATGTCGCGAGCTCGTTCGAAACGTTTCGGATCAGGGTAACCAACTTACCGTTAACAACGTGCACTTTGATGCTGCTGGGATTCGCGTTGCTTGGCTCGCAAGTGTAAATTCCGGAATCGCTGGGCACCGCTTTCTGGATCATTAAACGACTAGTGGTTTCCGGTCCTTTCTCCGTCACCAGGCTGATACCACCTCTCGGTGAGTCAAAGTTAATTACCTGCACCGATAAATTACAATTATGTTCACCGGTGTTCGCGTGCTCTCGGCGGTTCGCGATACGTTAAAAAGGGTTATCGATCAACGGTAATAACCGCGTAGGCGGCAGTTACTCGAGTCCCGATGCACGTACGCTATCTCAGAATCACCGGTGATCGTAGCTAAAATTCCTCTGGCTCGTAATTCGACGCGAGCAAAAACTATCGTCAAATAGAATTTTGATGGTGGCGCTTGGCTGCATCGTAATTGCTAACGGCCCGTTAAATTTCACGGATCGGACGGAACTGTTCAAACAATTCGGATCACGATTCAAATATTCAAACTAGAAACGCAGATGTTACCGCTTTGCCCATGATACAATTACCGGCGAACGTAACTTGGTCGAAGATGATTTCGATCTGAAGTCGAAGTGCCGAACTCTACGTAGTCGCCATTTCCGAACATCGACTTTTTGGTCGACGAGCTTTCCTAACGAGAAAACGATCGCGCGCAGGAACACTGGCCAACTCGTAAATTACTCGTCAAGACTTTACAAACGGGTTACAAAAAAGATTACGATTCCGTACTCGAAGAAAAATGTTCGCGTATTCTGTTCGATAGGTATGGATTACATGTACGTCCGTGGAACGGTGTGTGCGCGCAGCTAAAAAGGAACAATATTGGATCCCTTAGGAACATCCGACTTTTGGTTCGCGATCATTTCCTCAAAGCCACCGAGCTGGCGTCTGCAGCTTTCTCATATTCTAGTGGAAACTACCCCTAACCCCTTCGCCGATGTATTCTCGCGTTTCCGTGTAATACCGTTGCCATGCACGAACACAAAAGGTATTTTGCTTCAAGGTGCGCAGGAAGAATGGTAAAAAGATAGATATACGCGAGCCGCGTTTCCCTCGATGTATTCCCTTTGAGTTGCTACAAAGAACACCCTGTCAGAGTGTGAAATGAATACCCTCAACTATCCACACGCGCGGTATTAACCGTTCATCGTGTGTTACTACGTGTACCGACGAATAATCCACATCTTTTTATCGAGTTAGACGCTTGCTTTAAGCTATAAACGTACTTCTTCTCGTTCTCTATTTATCAACGACAATTTGTAGCTACATTTAGATCAGTCAAGTTACTTACGTTCGTACGGTGAAACTCACCTCCGTATTGTGACTCCAGATCATCATGGGCGGCGGTTCTGGAGCGTATTTCACGACGCAAGTCAGATTAATGGTGCTCCCTTTGTTCACGAATAGATCGGGAGCTCCAACTATTATAGTAATCGGTTCTGAAACAAGAACATTATTTTGTTCGATATACTCGCTCGACTTTATTCATTATTTCGATTCTGACGCGTCGAATCCAGGTTAACCAAGTTGCCCTCGAGTAGAAAGGAATTCTTTCAATATTTTCTCTCCGAGTAAAGAATTACAAATTGACACCCTCCAATAAATACACTATTATAACGTCTAATAAGTTGACGTTATTTCTCGTAACTCTTACACGAGCGATTAAAAGCAAAGGTCAAGCTTCGCGTGCTATTCTATTTTTATGCAAACACTGTCGACAAGAAATTGCGCGAGATACGTGTAAAAAAGGAAGGGGTGAATTAGCGGTGAAAGCTAGAGGAACAAGGTAACAAATAATCAAACAAGTACGACAAGATATAATATTAAGCGAACGTAGAATACTTTTATCGCGAGGCAAAATATGGAAGCGGGCAAGAGGTTAGGCAACGTTTTCAGGTCAAGTCAGTGCGATAAGATCCTCTCATTTAATAGTACGGCCCGGTTAGGATATCAGAGCAGTCATTAACGGTATACCTGGCGAGGATATACGTGCTCGCTCGCGGACGGCCTGGTTTCACCTGCTTTGTATGCCCGCATGAAATCTTTGCACGGATTTCGTACGTATCCTCTATTAACTTCTTTCAGGCCGTTGCAACACATCTCCGCGTCTATCTTGGACTAAATTTCAAACACATCGATCATAGATACGCACTGCTTACCCTCCCTTCGTCATTTGACCCCTCATTTTCCTCCATCCTCGATAAACACGTCGTTTTAATCTATCACGACTATCGGGTTAGTCTCATAAATTTACCGACACCTACTGGGTTTCAGAAAATTACAAGATTCGCGAGATACATTTTTATTCGATCAACCGTATATTATTAACCATATTTTTCCATATCGTGGCCCGCGGTTTTTGCTCCCGTAAATTAATTTCCGGACGAATTTTCGAATAAGATAAGATACGATCTTATTTATCGCAACAACTTGATGCAGCGCGACGTTTCGATGGAGCGGAATAACGCATCGAAATCGGAGAATTAATCGATCCACGTGCTGTACGACTCATTAAATCGGTCAGATATTGGCGTTAAACGCGATCGCGAATATTCCACGGTTTTCGTGTTTACGATGCCCTCGGCGCAAATGTCAACTTTCGAAGTGAATAATGATCGCGTTTCTACCAAAACGATTTCACTTGTAATTTATCGAGCAATTTTCGGCCGTGCCGATACGCGGCTGAAAATTTACGGAATAATCTTCGAACGAAATTAAGCGATTAACAATAGCAACAGACTCTAGCGCGAACACGGACCAGAGTCTAGCGCGAACACGGACTTGAGCGACGTCGTTAGAAAATCAATCGTTCCGGAGCTGTGTGGAATGTATGGATTCCATGTTTGCTCTCGGTAAATTTGTCGATTGATCAAAGTCGAGTAACTTATAGTACACATTCGGTTAACCTTGCGCTTCGAATTTTAATCGGCAATCGTGTATCCGGTAGCGACGATACGTCTAGCTGAACTTACCAACTATCGTTAGGTAGACAGCATGACCGATAGGCGGTGTCGTTGATATTTGGCACTCATAAATCCCGGAATCCTTGCGCTGTGGATATCGTATCCTCAAGGTCCATTCTTCGGTGTGAGGGTAATGCAGAGCTTCGAAACGTTGGTCGCTGGTGTAGGTGTAACGACCGACCGTTAACAGGTGTATGTCTCGATGCCTCACCCAGGAAACCTGTGGCAGAATATCGTTTTTAAACAACGTTTAGCGGTCACCATACTCGAACACGCTCCTCGAACGACAATTTTTTCAAGAAGCAAAAAGTTGAGAGGCGGAGATGCGCTCGCTGTTCAGTCTACTTTCTACTTCGAAAGTTTGTCGATCGAAGAAAAAGTAGGCCAAACGGAGTAGCGATGGCAATGTTTGCGATCGGGTAAATGTCTTTCAATGTGATCGATTTGGAAGTCGATAAACGGATAGTACGCGGAAATATCAGAACTACGATCATTATTGACGTGGACATAAATCAAAACCGAAATATGTAAATGGATGAAAAACGGACAAGAAGTGTACCGAAGTGGGTCGATAACGTTGAAGAGACGGACAGAGTGCGCGTTACAGGACAATCGGAGGGAGAAGAACGATCGGATGCGTGATGATCGACGAACGGACTAAACGCGTGTCTCGAATGGACAGCAAACGAGTGGTACGTGGACTACGACGATTCTAAACCACGCAAAGCATGACGAGCATATTCTCGGCAAATCAAACGTGCCCAGCTCAGCTTTCATCGCTGTTACGCATCGTTTTCATCAGGAAATTTTCAAATTTTCAATTCTCGAGCGGCCGGACGCCATAAAACAATGGAGTATCCGGCTCGCAGATTCGACGTTTTGTCGAATTTCACCCGAAAAATTTGTCTATTCCACCCGATATCTCGCAATATTTTCGCTCGAATCCCTGATACGATCGCAAATCTTTCGAATCGATAGTTGGCAAATTACAGTATCGTTTCGCTCGAAATATCAATTCCCAAATATGAAAATTTGAGAATTACCAATTGCCAAGTTTACGTACTCGAGTGAAGTCTACATATTGTAATCGACCGATAGAGTAAATGAACCGAGAATACAATTTCGTGGAGTGCATTCGCCGGTTTACATTCACGTTCGATCGGCCTTAATTGCTGCTTAAAAGCTGACTGCCAGATTGGAAGGATGATCGCGAAAATTGTATTTCGTTCGAATCGTTCCCTCGGCCTGTTGTTCGAAAAACTTGCTGAAGCGTCGAGGAAAAACGATTTCTCCGGGACAAGAAGCAAGAAGAACGAACGCTCGAAAAAGTGAAATGCATTACGTTGAAATTCGTGGGAAAAAATTTCCCGCGTAAGCGCGGTCTCTCGATCTCGTTTACTCGTGAACTAGTTTAACTTTTGGAGACGGATTCAAAGCGAAGAGTGAAATTAAAAGGTTCGTTTTTCACGGCAAAAGTATTTCACGATATTAAATTGCAATGACCTACTGCTGTTTAAATAACGTTTGCCCCAAACGTTTATACCGCGTTACATTTCGATGGCGATTGAAAAATTTTATTTGCGTATATTTGCAGGATTTCTCTGACATCTAGAATTCATGGTTACGTCCGTCGTTTAATTTTGTCATTAATATTCAAATCGGATTATTGATACTTTTTTGACTCCTATCCTATTCAAATTTCCTGACTGTAAATTGTTAACGAGTAAAGTTCAATTTATTTCGTGTAAATTTCAACCGCTCGAGTTTCGAAGTACGAATTTATGAGATTATGTTTACGTTAAACCTTGCCTTTTATACGTTAACGTCATCAAGTTTCTCTTCTACGCTGTCATTATCTTTTGATGCTGTTTTTCCTAATTACGGAACGCGGCGAACGAATAGAAAGGAAAGCACGAGGGTGTATAATTCGGAGGAACATAGTCGACGCTCTTTCGATTATGTGGAGGAGTTTCGCAAGTGGGCCTGACAAACGAAGTTCGATAGCGAGCTAGAGGTATTCTCGAATATTTAGCGCTGAAATGGAGCGGAGTATTGGAATTAAAGAGAAAACTAAAACATCGGAGTGGCTTAAAAACGTAAAGCCTATTATTCGCGAAAAACATCTTGAAACAACTTTAAGAACATTAAAGATGTCTTGTCGTACGGCAACAGCTGCAGCAACTCGGCCAATTTTCTCTCTTAGGGAGTCGGTGAGAGATACGTGAACTTGAGTAGAGAGAAGGAACGTTTATGACACTGGATCGTCGGAAATCTTCGATTTCATAGGTGCACTTCCACGGTTTATGAGTCTTCTCGGTCCAGCCCTCGAAATTAAAATTTCGACGACCGTGTTAATCAGAGGAGACGTTGAAAAGATAAAAATGACGTTAACCTTTCATAGAACTTTCATTACTTTCTCCGGTGTTTGCGCATGGCGTGGCACGAGGAGTCTTTTCGGAGGTATTACGTTTCGCGGGTGCATAAAGCAATTTCCCCATAACGGTGGCTCCACTCGAGACTAGGCGAGGCTCGCCGGATGTGACGTCACCATGGAGATTCGGTATTGTCCCAGTTCGGCCGCGAATCTGGCAGCTGCGGTGGCCTGCGAGTTCTCGAGATGACACCGGTGTGTCATTGGCATTAGTCGCGGCATTGTTTGCTGAAATCCGAGCGAAATCTATGCGGCTCGCGTGATCGCGCGATCGTCGTTTTCCACGCGATCCTCGCTCTGCGTTCGCACGCGACTAAAAGCGCTATTCACCGATACTTTCCGATCGAATATCGCGACGAGGTGTTCTCCGGATCGCTATCGTTCACTTACAGCCGCGCTATCTGTCTTTATTGTCCTTTGGTTCTCCCGCAAATGGATCGGACGCGTTAAATATGTCGTAAAATCGGATTTATTTATCAGCGTTTTCGAACCGATTTAGGGGCAATTCTCCCGTTTCGAGAGATAAATCGAAATCTACTAACGTTTTTCTCTTATTGCTTCAACGTAACTTGCTCGTTAATCCTGCGGAATCGTAAACATTTTAGAGGCGTAGTTAAAAATTCTATTGCATAACCAATTAAAGAAGACAACGACGAATCTTCCGATCAGAGTTTACGGACCAACTTCATTTGCATCAACTAGATATCTTTACTAACGAATACACTAACAGAATCCGAACGAGCTTAATCTCTCTCCTTACTCGCGGTGCAACCATCGCACCGACGTTATTTTAACGATGCGAAGCTTGTAAGAAGGATTACATCTATAATCCGATATGTCAGTGCGCATCGTTACAATCCTGCTTCGTGGACTTTCGTAGCGTCAAGGATGGAAATTGGCGGAGCGAGCGAAAGACATAAACGCGTAAATATCCGTAGTATGGTAATAAACGAGCGAGGAAAGAAAATTCCTGTACGATGTATCCCCTACTTTTAAGAACACATGTAGAACATTTCAACGAGTTTACACGCGGCACATCGAAGATTCAGCAAAGACGCATCCACGTTACATTCGCGCATCGTTTCCTATAGCATTTCCCCATTGTTTTTATCATCGCGGAGTTGCAGGGTCGTTTTCGTATCGCTCGTAACCCGGTGCTCCCGATACGCGTAAAATTCGGAATGAAACGTCGGCGATGGTATAGGTGCGCAATTATTATTCGAGGTCGCTCGAAAGAACGAGAAACCGTTGTACACGGGTAGGTTTAACGTGGTCGTCCTCGACATTCTCGGAGTTGTTTGCGCGGTGAGTGGTGCCGTTAGATGCTCGTCTTACGACTTCCGCTTCCATTGACGCTCGCGGGGATTACAGGCTCTTGCCGTGAAAGTAGACAGCAGGGAAAATGGGATCCGCAAGGGAGACGGAGAGAGGATAGATCTCGAGAAAATAAGGACTCTCGCTGATCTTTGTCCGGATAAAAGAGACCGGGTTACGCCTACCACGGTTCGTACGTGTGAGCTCGCGTGTGCCAGCTTTTCTTTTCTCTTCTCTGCCATCCGAGAAGAAGCATGGAACGGTGTAATGATCTCGAGGGTGCTTTGTTCCTGAACATCCTAATCCAGTTGCAGCTTGAAGAACGACCGAGAGACGAGGTTATAATTCAACGTTTCAAATTTCCTTTGTTCTCGGGAAAGAATAAAGGATCTTAAGAAACACGAGATTTCATTTGCAGAATGTAACCGCATCTACTGGCCGTCCTTTCGTTTAAACCTTCTTAGACGTTTTAGGTCGGTAGCAAATATTTCTGAAGCTGCTGTTGGAAATTTTCACGCGTTACATCGACTCGATGAGCCCCTGCACTCTCGAAGTATCGAACAACGTATAAACTGTGGGAAACGAATACTTTGGATTTGCGAAGGTTCGAAAAGAAATATCCAACTACCGTAAAATCGTTCGAGAGGCCCATACGCCCTCTTCTCCCGTGCTCCTCAACTTTGTTACGTACAAGTTATTCTAACTTTCGCAGCGGTCTCTAGTATAATCGTTAAGATAGAAGTTTCCGTGTGCGTTTCGCGTGTTTGCAAATCAATCGACGTTCTGGCGTTCGTTAGAATCAAGTAAGATCAACTTTGAGCTATTGTAATTGCTTCCATCGGGAGGAAGCTTCGAGCCAAAGCCAAACTACCGTTGATTAGCTTGTGGTCTCTGTATGCCTACTAATGAAGACCACCATTATCGTTGGCGGTGTATTAACAGCGGGTTCTTAGTTGCTTTACCCAAACATACACGGATTATGTATCTTCTCCTTTGAAGACTGCCAACTATTTCCGTTTCCAAAGAGCATTCACGATCCTTGTATGTCCACGTATCGTAATCACGGTGTCCTAACTAGCAGATTAAACCCGTTTTCCAAATAACCGGAATTTATGCAAATAAACGTCTTTGGAATTCGCGTCGTGTTTCGTGCCTTCAAATTCGACTAATTTAAAAACTAATAGAAATCGTTGGTAACTTACGGTTCGATTTCCTAGGTTCTTCACTTTGCACACCAAGTGCACTGTTTTCCCCACCAAGCCGGTGAAGTTCGACTGCATGGAGGTGTCGAAATGGGGCCCCGTCCCAGGAGTCGGCCATTCCTCCAGAAAGTCGGTTCGAAAGTTTCGTAGACATGACGCTATACCACCTGTGAACCAAATCAGTCAATTATCATCCGATCCTATATTTCTGCTCCGCGTTATCGTGCTTAACAATTCGCTCGGAAAGGGAAACAGGAAACGAACATCTTACATCGAGTTACCGATACGTTCTCGTTACATTTGATTCAGGTATAAATAGTTAACGAGAAGGAGATAGGTAGGGAGGGGAGTTTGGAATTGAATAATCTCGAGCTAACTGGCTGGCTATTCAGTTAAGCGATCTCTCTCTCGAGACAGATCTTACGTAAAGACGGTGTCTATGGGATACTCTGAAAAGGCCGTGTACTTTCAAAGAAATTAAAACGCATCGACCATTTTCGCGACGTTTCAAGAAACCTTGAGTCGAAGAAATAATTCGACATAAAAGGTTATCGTAGAAGGGCTATAAAGCTGTACACGATCTCAGCTAATAAAGACAAAGTTATTAGCTTTGTAACAAATCCTGAAATCATTTTGTCCGGGTAAAACGGACGATGTAACTGAAAATTCGACGCTCGAAATTTAACCAACAATCGAAACGGGATCAACGAGAAAAACTGAAACACAATCTTCCCTTTGCAATAAATTGTACGCGGATCATGTGCGCGTAAAGTAGCGCTTCTTCGACAGAGGGAATCCTCTTTCTTTTGTTTACCGTTGTACGAACTGGACTAATCGGATTTCTGCTAAAGATAATTTCTCGCGCAGAATCAAGTTTCTGGTTCGCGTAATAGATACCGAGACGCGCTATACACGTGGAAGACAGAAAATTATGGTTACGTTAGATTTCGCTTTCTCGAGCAACAAATTTACCGATCGCGTTTTACTGGCGAAAGAAACGTTCTTCACGGTGAAGTCGTTTCTCGCGAGAGAATTTAAGACCACCCAGTACCGTGAACTCTTAAACTTTCGAGTAGAGTAGAGAGAGTAGCGTGCACAGCGCCAACCACGATTTCGTTGCTCGTGCTTCGACGAAAATTAATTTTACCCAGGAACAGTACGGTCGAATTTTCTCCGCGACGTGTCTCGGCTCTCCTCGAAACTCTCGCACACTCGGTCGACCGACAAAATTGCACCATCCTTGTCTAGAAAATATTTCCGGTCCGATTTTAGATCCTTTTTGTCGAGCAATTTAGCCGAAACCTTGGCTAAATTTTACTTGCGTAGCTCTCTCGATCGCGAATACCGACAGCTCAGTCTTCCATTCGCGCTCGAAAATTAATTTCACGCTAGAATTTGCAAGTGTAAAGTCTTTTATTTTTTGTTTGTTTGCTTCTTTCAGCGAGGTTCGTACGTTACTTTATTCAATTTTGTATTTAATTTCATCTTTGGTCCGATGGATTTTCTTCCAGATACTGACACAGAACAATACGTGGCTAAATGAATTCTAAATTGACTATTCTATTCATCTATTCGAAAATGACGGAAGTTTGCTAGTTTAAATACGAGTGTATTCGAGCGACAGATAACGCGAACAAAAGATTTGTCAATCAAATAGAATGCTTTAGTACCTTAATAACTGTTTTAGAATGATTTTACCCTACTAATTTGAACGTGCTCATTTCGTCGAATTTTTCTTCGTCAAACAACCGAAAGTTCGACCAGCTTGGCTTGTACTCTACAGCTTTTTCCACTGGAAAAAGAGGTCAAATAAGTTCACAGCGAGTATCGGATAATCTATAATCAGGCGGCCGGGCCGGAAATTAATTTTACGCTCGAATCTACTAATCCATCTTTGTTCCTCTCTTTCGAGGCAGGTCCTTTCTATCTCCGATCGACGTTCTTTATCTCTTCCGGAACTTTATCGAAGCATTTCTACAACGGCAATAATTACCTTGCCAGAATACCTACATATCTTTCCGCCGACAAAAGTTGAATGATACGGACGTTATTGCGATTGCTCAAAAACGCGAAAATTAACGCTTACAGTTCCCTTTTAACGCGAATCGGGAAATTAAAAGGTTCGAAACTACCATGAATCTGTCTCGCTCGATAAATGCAGGTATTTAACCATAGTAAAGCGATTCAACAAAAGTTACCGAAACGAAAGGTTACTTCACTATTACGTTTTATTAGATAATCTTCGTTAAACGTTTTCGAATAAAATTTTACCAAATATTGGACTGTTCGCGTGAGTTCCAATTCCAACTTTGATACGATTTGAAAAAAAGAGTAGACGGAAGCGAAGAATAATGAAAATGTTCTATTAAACGCTGGATATCGAATCAGTAACCAATCCGATTAACAGAGGGACCGTTCAAACGTTTGGCAAAAAAAACCCGAACAGCCCTATAACCGTAAAACCGAAAATAACGAGAGCTTTTGTCGCGATGAAAATGTAATATTAAACGCAAACTCTTTTGCGATATGTACAAATAATTTCAATGTTGTTCCGAACGGCGAGAGAAAATATCGGAAAGCATTAACAGAAACGAAGCAAACGCGAATAATATTGTTGTCGCCGATAATAATGATATTGACAAAATAATTATTTCGTTTCATATGAAATTGAAATCGAATGTGAAATGATGCTTTACGACTTATTTATTCTTTAGCGATACTCTATCGATAACGATGGTTTCATAGAGCAGTCACACGCGTTGTCCAAGTGGATGAGTTTCCAATGAACCAACGGTAGCGTTAATTGCCGCGGGACGATAAATCAGTGACCGGAATTTCCGTAGTTTACTTAAAGGAAAAATCTAAAGTAGCAGGACAGTTGAATAATTAACTGGTACATAGAGCCGGAGAAGTTTCCGAGAGAACAAGCTTCTCGAGGCGCGGTAACGTGGATTTTCCTTTGCTCGTCACATAAGACGTCACGTTTCCGTCATCCCCGTTCCGGAACTTTCGAATAGCCTCTTGGAACGCTCCAGAAGCGAGTGGATGACTTTGCACTAGCTTTATAATTATTTGAACCATGCTGGTTGCCGCTTGTCCATCACGGCTAACTACCAGAGGGCTCCTTCTCGACAATGAAGGACACAGGATGGTTTGGTTGCTCGCCACAAAATCCTATTTCGCTTCACTTTACCCTGCTACCCTTCTCGGGACTCCTTCTTCCACTCGAATGCAGGTTTTACGATCGGTTCGCTTCGCTTCTATCTCGCCCAGCTTTTTATCTTATCCTCGCTACTCTCGCTTTCCATTAGTTCATCGGTTGCGACGTTTAAATAGCCACGAACGATAGTCCTTGCCACTAATAGTTCAATCGTTTCCAAATAGATCCGTAAATTAAAATATAATGGTATCGCAAGCGAGTTTAAAAATGTAGCGAATTTATAACTTTGACCGGCAGTGTGCTTCTTGTTTCCGATATAATATCAGTAGCATCGATGAGGTTTCGTAAAAAAAGTATGTAATTTGATTGAAACACGAGAAAAAAAGGTATCATCAGCGTAAGTGGTACGCTTTTATTCCACGATAAAGGTGACGTCGTTAATCTTTAGAACGGAATAACGGAAACAATGGCACGTTGATATTCGCAGTTAATTTCTTGTACCGTTCTCGAAATGATGATATTAATTAGACCGTTTAACTTTGATGGGCGTGTTACTTGTAGCGTGACAATGCTTTATATCGGTTATTTAGAATCGCTTGTTTTTAGTTGAGATTTATTTCGCAAGGTTCGTTTCACCATATTCAGACCGTCGATAAATCGAATTCCTGGTGCCCCCGAGGAAAATATATTTCGCGTTTCTGCGGAACTCTCTCGCGTATTCTTCAAATGTTTCCATGTTACTGTGTGCAAGAGCAATGTTATCCAGTAGTATAACGCTAAACAAATCTCAATGTTTTCAATAATCCAGTCCTATCGGATTCACGTTATTTAATGTAGCATACATTGAAAAATTTTAACGCATTTCGCATTCTGACGTCCCCTGTCGATAATATCAAATACTAACTCGATAAATTAAATGGAATCGACGGCGAAATTGTTACGATTAATCGTAGCGTATAGAGATGACAATTATGCGAGATAATATCCGATGAATTTTATCGTTATTACCGTTAACGCGGATTCGAGCAGAATGAGAATTATCCAAAATGTGATCCCGTCTCCCACTTTAGTCGACGGCAAGCAACCAGTCCCAAGATGGGTAATGGAAAGCAAACGAACGGTCGAATCGACTCCGTGGCTCATCGAAAAAGGCTAACAGTGCTTGGCTTTGCTTCGTCAAATCGGCCTCTTGACGCTGCTCTAGTCTCGAGGGAATTGCTTCGAGAAAATGGCACGATTCTCTTGTTACGCAGTTCTCTGCACGGTACAGCCTTACCGAAGCGTTAACAACTAAATATCTTCACCTACATTTCCACGCTTTTCTGATATTACCTCACGGTCCATTTCGAATTCAGATCTTCCAATCAGGACACGAATAACGAAATACGTAACTCCGATAGAGTTTATCCATATGGAAAAAATTGGTAAATATTCTTCGACTAAATGAGTCGCGAATAATGTCACGTTCAAGACACGTCATTTCCGCTTACGGGGTTACGATAATCAGCTTCGTTCCTCGATGTAACGCGACACCGTTTGCGCGCAGAAGAACTTGGTTGCAAAGTGCAATCGAATAAGAAAGCACAAGAGCAGCTAGCTTTATCCCCTAGTAAACCAGAATTTCCCATCGATCGCGTTACGGCTGGCCGAATCCTTTAATCCACGAGTCTTTGTAGCGTACAAGGATGACGCGAGAGCGGATCATTATTTTCGTTAACGCGCCGCTTTGTCCAGACTAGAGTCTTGGATCGAGTTGGTTAGGTGGTGAACCATACCGACGAAATCCGACGGTAAACCGAGACTCTAACGAGCCGTCGGAATTATTCGCGTCGTTTCACCGAGCTACGTCATAAATGCGAGACTCGTACAGTTCCTACAAGCTCTTCGTACTTTAGCTTGTATCGACGAATCACTGCGTCCGATTCGTTCTATGGATGGGCGATTGAAGCGAATTCGAGAATCCATTTCCCATGACGCTGTTGGGATTAAACGAGGCGATTCGCATGCGAGATGCGGCATATTCTCTGTTACAGGGCTATTATCGCGTACGTTAAGACACTAAACAGAGCTTAGCGTAAATGAACGAGAGCTTTGATACTCTTTGGATACAGTATCTGAGAGCATTGCGCTCAATTTTATTGCAAGGGTCGTAAAACCTGGAACTATCCGCTACGTGTGCGGTACCGCAATCGTATAATTCGTTCATTCTTATTTTCTTTACTACGTAGTGGTATTAGTAACATGTAGCAGATGTTATTAAAGAAATTTAGAATCTTCCACGATTACTAATTCGTTTGTAACGCGTATTTTACATGGAAATTTTTCGTGGTAAAATTCCGCTAAGTCGGTTCGTTGTCTGCAAAAAAGGATTAATAAGCACCGACAGCTACGAGCTTATTTCATTTCATTCCCGTCATCGGCAAACGATCTGTAAATCTAACCGTTGAATTGTTTCTGTCGTAAAAAGGAACGACTGACAAGAACAGACCACAGCCGGGTTGGCGAGAGAGTTTCCAGAAAAACTTAATTCCAGGTTAGCCGGCGTTGCGCTGGAATCGTTGAAACCTCGTGCCGTCGAGCACGCGAATCAAAATCCAACCCAAGTACTTTCTTCTCGACGTTAACGATAAAAATAAAAATGAAACGCGTTACCATTAACCATAAAAAAAACTGGATACGTGGTCGCTACGGTAATTGTTTCTTCCGTAATTCTCGATATCGGTCACGACACAGCTGACAACAGCAGTCGGAGACGTAAAATACCTACTAGCTACACAAGAGTCTCGTTATTTCTCGACTTCTCCGCTATTAATAATACTCGAACGAATCTACTCGAACGAGTCTACGGAAAATCATCGTTTAGTCTGAGCACTTATAGTACTTCTATTTTAAACAACTTTTAACGGAAACGATTATTTCGAGTTTCGATCGATACGAATAACACCGAAATGTAAAATAATCGAGTTACGATCAATAGGTGAATCGCTCTTGGCGGAAGTCGAAACGAAAATGGGATATTTATATTCTAATTGAAGTCTTTGGGAAAGAAAAAATGATGGGAAGAGAGTGTCGAGTAACGAGAAAAGTAGAAAGGGTGTAAAGCAACAGTAGAAAATCGTGTTCCCATAGCGTGTTTTCTTTCAACCTACGTAACAATCGCCACGAGTTTTTCAGGATTGCGGCAACGTTGGGCTGCGAATGCATTCGTTCGCGAAGAAAAAGCATTGTAACCGTTCACAGAGCCAGCTCTCCAGAGGGAATCTCGACGAGAGGTGCGCAAAGAAAAGGAAACGCGAGCAAAGACGAACGAGAAATTATTTGTGCGTTAAATCTTGCCACTGTTTCGACTCGACACGAAACACAACATCTTTTTCCGTGGCCCGAGTAGGACAATTGTATAATGTACACCGACGAATGAAAACGTTACCGAAAAGAATATTTCTTTCCGTAACAATCGTTTACACGGGTATACAATACATGGTTCTTTTTAAAAGTAGTTAACGTCTAAACCATGCAAGACGTGGCAATTGTTTATCGATTAGCAATTTCGCGCCGTGATCTTTGAAAACGAAGCTAAATCGATATCGCGTTCGTTCGCTATCAGAAATATCGAAGGTGGAATCGTTTTGGTCGCTGGTGCGTAGTAAATTAAGCAGGATCGACGAAAAGAAGATTGGATGTAGCCGATCGAGGACAGCTTCCATCGTCGAGGGTGAAGTTCATAAAATTTAATCAAACCCAGAGATATACGAGCCTCCATCGTATTATACTCGAGTGAACGCGACGCGAAACTGTGCGTCAAAGTGTTGTGGGATTCGAAAATACTATCATGAATAATACAAGCACCGCGTCAGCGTAGAAAAGAAAGGATCGATTTGCAATTGAAACGGTAAAGAATTCGTCTTGGAAGAAACGTCTGTTTCCGTGGGTGCGCTATCGGACCGTTTAACGTTCGATAAACGCTCGAATCGCTTAATCGAAGGACAACGAGTTCTTCGAGGAGATTAAAATATTTCCGTCGGCGAGTCGCGCGACGACGAATTTCCTCTCGATTACGCGACTGGTCGTTTCTCGCGCAACTTCCAGGAAGTCATTAAAATTGTCGAATCGCGGCGTTAACGAGATAACCGATTAAATTATCGGGCGACTTACCAAAAGAAATGATAAAACAGACGAGCACCGGAAGAGAAGTAGACATCGCTTGTTCCTCGGCGGAAGTTCTTTCACATATTGATATACTATCTCACACGCATTTCAGTCTTTTAACTCCGCAGTTGCGTATCTGATGGACGAACTAGTTTCGCTAACACTGGTAGTTTCTCGAACAACTTGACATTTCACTGGATCGTTATACGTACGATTTTTCTTCTCGACGAACGACACCGTTTTACTCGATTACGAATGTTTCGTTTCGCGACATCACCGACGCGTTACACGCGAAAGAGAAACGACCGAATCTTACGAACACACCGCGTATTCATTCCGTCAACTTGACCGACTTTGCTCGTTCTTTCTTCTTACGAAACAAACGGGCAGCAGCAACGGGGCGGTTTCGAATTCCAGCGGGCAAATTATTCTCCACGGTCACAGGCAGAAAATGTAACGGGAACGTTGCCGTTACGCGAACCGCTAATGAACGTAATTAACGGTACGAGTATTTTGTCGACGTTAGCGTGCCACTATAGTTTCAGCTCGTATAAGATCCGTCGAAATGACAGGTGGAGAGCGAGAGAGAGAGGAGAGCGAGAGAGAGAGAGAGAGAGAGAGAGGAGGGAGAGGAGGGATAACCACGAAGGCTTTCATATGCCTTTTCACCACCGCAACATCGTTCGCGATGCATTAGACGGCACTCGTTAAAGTAATTTCCTCGTTACACACGTTTCATCGAGCGTTCTCTTCTTCGTCGCACGTCGTTACACTGTCGCATTGTCTGGAACTAGCGTGGTTTCGCTCGACGAACTTGTTTAGAGCCTCATCAGTCCATTGTCTGGTATACGCGAGAGTTAATCGCGGAGTTGATCGAGCGTAAGCATTTGTCGTAACCTCGCGATCGCTCGATAACGGTGTTTATTCCGATTCTACCGAGCGTACAAAGCGAACACCGGAACAATACCAGAGAATTTTTCACGCCACGGACACCGCGCACGTATCCGTGTCACACGAATGCTCGGGAAAACAGACCTCGAGATGATTCACCGACAGCTTTTCACCTCCAGCGTCCCATGGGATTCGAGAGGGTTTCGCGCGATACGGCAAGCGATCCTTGTTCGCTTAGCAAAACGTTTTTCCCTTTCGGATACAGAATCACGATACGAGCGAATCGTCGATGGACGAGCACGATATGCGCTGCCGATTCCGAGATAACGAAGGTTACAGTTCACTTTGGTACATAAAAACACTTTTCACTTGCTAAACGTTTCGGTCGTTGTGTAGTACTCGAGATCCAAAGCATCCGACGTTGACTGGCAAATATTCGACGCTTCGAGTACCGACGATGTCCCGATCTCGTTCGAGTATTCACTTTTCTATACCGAAACTAAACGCGTTAATTCGTTGCCTCGTTGCGTTCGCAGTAGCGATCCTCGAGATCCAAAGAATCCAACGTCGATCAACGAGTACTCGGCACCGTGAAGATCAATATCGATTTCCTTGGAAGATCGCGAATGGAAAAAAGTTACGGTCCACTTTCGTGGACAGAAACACAGCGCGTTCTATCGATCGACAGAATTTCGTTAAAGATCGCAAGGAAGGAAGCGACCGTTCACTCTCGTAGATCCAAACATCTCGAAGATGTTCAATCGTATCGTGGCGTACGCGAAGCTGGCCCGAGTCCTGGTAGCTCCATTCAGCGTGAATCGCGAGCGAAGGAAGTTGGTGCCAAGTTCGATCGGTCTGGAAACGATAACCGTACGTCACCCAGTTTCGTCGTCGAGAGTGCAGCCAGTATTACGAGTGTTTTACGCGTACCACTCGATTGTTCGCCTCTGGTCGGAGATTCGCGGCCAAAGTTGGATTTACGCGACTAGTTTCCCGTCGTGCTCGAAAAAGCCGCGTTAACGGTCCTTCACTGGTTCGGAATCAAAAAAGCATCGAACGACGATCAACGTTCAAATATCTGGCGCGCGTACCGAGAAGACGGTCTCTGGAGGGTCGTAAGCACGTCACGAATCACGATTCACCGGTTACGTCACCACAACACACTCGGAGGATCGATCCGAGTATCGTCGGTTCGCGATACGCTCCACAATCACGATGATAATTGATCCGCGGTATCGTAACTGAAGCGTCGATAAAAAGAAAGGTTCGTCTGTCGCGAGCGCAAGGTGGTAATCGTCCAGGGTAACGGTTTATCCATCGGAATCGCGGTATTTCCGAGGAATCAGGTGGTTCCGAGTCGGAGGAGCGGCGAGGTTGTCGGACGTGTCCGCGGAAGGCAACGCGCGCGACGCGACGGCAGGAGGTCGCGGCTCTTTCGAAACGACGATGCTCCCGCGTCAAGGATAGCCGAGGGACTACATTGCGCGAGCGCCGCTCGGGCTTCGAGCACGCAGCCGCCCCGTGCAGCCTGCACGACTCTCCGAGCTCCGTTACACCACCGTTTCGCCGTTTCGCCGTTTCACCGTGCAACCGTGCAACCGACCCTATACGACCCGCGTTCCTATTTCCCTTCTTTGACGGTGTGCGTCGAAGCGCGTGCGCGCTTACCTGTGCCCGCGTGTCTATAGCTTTGCTTATATATCAGCCCGTTTTCCCACCCTGCTGCCCACCACCCTTCTTCTTACGCTATTTCCTTATCCTTCCTCTTGCTTCTCCTTTTCGCTCTTTCGCCTTGCCGCTCTTCTTCCCGTGCTTCTTCCGCTTCCTTCCTTCGCATCTCCTATCTTTTCGATCTTTCGCGCTTCTTCCACTTACCCGTTTCACCTTCTCTCTGCAATTGGATTTCCTCGTCCGCCTCCGTTTCCTTCCTTTGCCTTTGCTCATTCTTTCTCACCGTCTTTCGCGCAGTTCCTTTCGTCCGTTGTCGTAATTCTCTTAATTTGGTCGGTAAGAACGTCTATCGATGCAGGATCGATCATCGATGTATAAATTGCACATCGGGTAAAGGAATCGATAGAACTCGAGGGCGGCTAAGTGCGGTATTTCTTCGCGGCGAAGGCGTAAAGTAGATCAAAGGTCTCGTTTTCCTTTTAAGTGGAATGTTAGATTTTTTACGAGAAATTTCTAGGATCTATGTGTGCGTATTTTGTTTCGAAGAATGAAAATGCGAAAATGCGATAAAAATGCGAGCTCCCAGCTTTTCTTGCATAACGGCAGCCAAGAGTTTCAAATAAAGTTCGAGTTTCTTCTTAAAATTTACACCGTCTCAATTTTTCCTGCTCTGCATCGACGCGAGATGCTAAATCGATCCGAGATCAATTTTTCACGGTTCGAAGGTTCAATCTTGAACTCGTTTTTCCTCGATTGTTGCTCGCGCCTTTTTAAAAACTGATATTCGGCTCGAATTCGGTTTAGATACGGATAAGGTCAATGCATCGTCAGCGTCGTTTTAAAAATCCCAAGAATATCGTTTATCATCTGGCAGGAAGTTAATCGGTGGAAGATCGTTCTTTCCACGTGTCCGACAGCGATCGTTCACTGACTGATTGAACGGACTCGTATAGAAACTCATCTATGCAAGATCGATATGTATATTCAAGAGTTCTGAATAGCCTGCGTGTTTCTGCACTGTAGGAAATTCATTGTCCATCAAGCATCGGCTGCCTACTAAATTCGAACAACCGCCTCTCGATACTCTGAATTATACGATCGATAAACATCGAGAATTCGACTATTCTCTAGAAATAATCTATCTTCTACTATTAATTTCTTTCTATAAATGGGTAGCTGACGATCAAAAAATCCTATACAAATTTTGTTTAATCATCGACCAATGAAGCTCGTCTACGTTCCAAACGGTATTAATTTGTGATTCGCATTTAACAAAAAGTACAAATGTTCCCTGCGTTCGAATCGCACATAAAAACCGACGAGTACAATTTCACTCTCAATGTCTAACCACTGTTTCGATTTCCCGTCCAATTTTTGCGGTTATTCGAATACAAAATCGACTGGTCAACTCGCGAATTATTCTCGTGGATGCGTGCCAGAATAAAGCGATGCAAATGATGGACAATTTTTGCGTCGCGGTTTCCCGATTACGTAGTAACTGTCAACGAAATTATCGCTTTGGGATTTTCGAAGCGTGAAACTATGAAAATCTACCTTTGAATAGGGTAGTACAGCTCGTAGTAGCATGGTATAGGTCATAGTTTAAATCGTCTTGACATTTTTGCAATTTACGTTCTTTGGATTCATTGATATCAGCGTTGAAACGAACACATCGATTTCGTTGAAATTTGTACACTCGACGGCTTTGGCGTAGGCTGTTTGTCAGCCTTGCTATTACGCGGTCGCGTCCATTTGTGAACGGAAGCACTTACGCCGGCTTCAAAACTAGCGAAGCGGTTTCATCGACATAACGATCACCCTCTATCGATCGCGAACTTCATTCACACGGAAAGGTCGTAGTTCTTTATTAGAAAAAAATTCTTCCATTGAACTTTGTACTTTTTTTTGTCGAGTCGTGAAAACGCCCTTGAAACTTTTCATCGCGTTCACCGAGTACCAGGTACAAAAAAGAATCGCTGCTCTAAAATTACAATACTCCAGTTTTTCTGTCCTCCGTCAGAACGACACTTGACTTTTTAAAACAATAATGGTATTTCGCTGAATAACTCGAAGAAAAGTCGAAATATTCTATATCGGTTGGTTTCAAAATTGCATATTCGATATATTCAGCTTTGACTATTCGACTATAGAATCACGAATAATTTGCTCGTGTGTTTGTCGCGGTACAAGAAGGGCCAAGGGTGAATGACCTCTTACGGTTTAATAGCGTTTGTCATGTGCACGTACGTGTATCTGCACGTGGTTCTTGTGTGACTAGGATATTCTCTGATCGAGTATCAGTAATTCTCGTCTAAGGTTTGTATAGGATGCCTCAAAATTTAATCAAATTCTAAATCGTTTATAGTATGAAACGAAAATTGTGAATTTCAAAATGTTATAAAATCCTCTAATCTCTGTAGCTTGAAATTTTCACGACATACACCGCTTTCGAAATGCCTCGCATCGAGAAGGCAACAAGAGCTACGCTTTAATTATTCGTTTAATGGAGAGTAACGTTAAGTAACAGTGGACGGGGATGCATTAAAAGTTTTTTCCTGTCAAACGGATGAAAAATTTATAAGTTAAATTAATAATTAACGCAAGTTATTCGCTTTATACTTCTTATGATATTCTCGGGACGCTTATCCGTACTCGTTTCGCGTCAATAGATAAATGTACGCTTCGTCATATTCGTTCGTAAAGATTTGTTATGCTGGTTTCTTCGATCAAAGTAGTCGATTATGTTCGCTACGTGGAAGTTTATGCCTATTGTTACTAAGGAAGAAAAGAACCGGTTATTTCGGATACGCGATGAAGTTACCGGTATCGATCGAGTAGCTCCGATATATCGGAGCGAGGGTTACGACACAGTGGACCACTTTATAAAGGAAATATAGAAAGATGGATTTCCTGGCCGCTCTAAAAACAATCGCACACGAGACGGATTTCTCTCGTAGACGTATAAAGGTACGTATTCGTCTCTTTCCTTCCGTTCCTCTTCGCGTCGTGATTTTCTTACCCTCTCGAGAATATTCGCTTCTTCTCATTGTTACGTTATACCTCGACGGTCACTATTTTCCTCCCGGCGTTCCTCGTAGTTAATGGAATTCATTAATCCTATCTGCCAGAATAGCCACTTCGTTATTCTTATTTAAAAGATGGATCGCTCGAATGTCCGCCAGAACGGCATCCATTAACGCCGACTGAATGGTGTTCCAACTTTTTTTTTCTATTTTTCAGCTTAGCTCCGAACCCTTAGAAAAGAACGTTTTGTAGCGAGCGATGAATCTTGAACGCCCTTTTTGGTACGTCGTTTAAAGAACAATACCACTTTCTGATCGACTCGGAACCGTGATTACGGAACATTTTTTTCCCGAATTACATCGAATTCGTGCTACCAGACGCATAAACCTGTGTTTTGTTGCATTTGTAACGTTTACTTGCACAGTGGCCACGTTACGAGATACCAAAGAGGTTAAATGATCACGTTTTTCGGAATTTATGGAACGTAAAAAAAGGGCGTTACTTTGTCTAAACACGACACTACACTCTGCGCTGCACTTTATCGCGTTAACAAACTGAACCGTTAAGTTAACACGCATAGAATCCACTATGTTTTAATTACGAATAACGCAGCACGAAGGACGAAATTAGCGTGCCTTCCGTTTTAATCTTCCTCATCTAATCTTCTCTCCCCATCCACCGTTCTCGGTTAACAATATCCGTCCCTATAGTTCGCGGCTGTACTTAAGTTCGTATCAGTTAATTAATTCATTAGAGAAGTCTCGTTCCATTATAGGGAGTAAGCCTAATTACCTGACGAAAGAGAAGTTTAAGAGGTCTCTCGAGAGTCGGCACGCGCATCAACTAACGATTTCCGCGAGGTTTGTTACCCCCGTTTTCATTTGCTTCGAATATCTTTGAAGGGACTTTATTAAGAACGAAAAATTCTCCAGAACTTTGCCGATATTCGATCGGATTAAAGAAGCTGATAGTTCTCGTAGCGTCTGTGTAGTATTCCAACAATAGCGAAATCGTTTTTTATTACGTTTCAACGCGTGCAACTCTCTCAAAAATCCTATCGCGGTGTTCACCGCTCGTTCACGAAGTTCGTTAGCATGTTTGCAAATTAATTTTTTGCTGCATAACTAGACCTGTTCGAACACGTGGAAGCCTACAGAGCTCTCTTCAACCGGTGTTTCATTGAAATTATCTCATCCATACATTTCCATAGCGATACAACGACGCGTTACGTGCCGTGAATCTCTTCTCGCGTGATTCTAGGATCGTTGAACATCGCTCGACGCATCGAAAGTTCGCGCCACGTTCGATCGCGCGTTCAATCGAACAGTCACGCGATACGGTCGTTATATCGTTTTTCGAGAATCGACTAAACTCGTCCTGAGCGATGCAACAACACGGCTGCTTCAGCTTTAGATCGAAGATCGAAAGGAAAGTAAACAACCGAAAAATGGATCTGTTTTTAGGTGTATCAGAAAAGTATCGAGTTAAAAATTATAATGAAATTCTGTTTGTACGTTCAGTTTTACGAGAAAAGGTGTTTTTAGCTTAGACCTTGAAGAAGCGATTAATTTTGGTAAGCTTAAACGTCGGTCTAACAACGCAATCCTGATTGTAACGGTACAAGTGTCTGACCAAATATTGCCTCATTCTACTTACAGCGTTCCGCCTACACTTCATACCAGGCTTCATCGTAACTTTAATAGGCTAAGTATATCAACATTGGATCGTGATATTTATTATATTACGGTACAGGGGTTTCAATTCAAACCTTGATGATCCTTGAAACATGATAGTTATCTAGTACTGTTATTAGAAACAGGTAGTACAACTGTAATTGTACTCGAGCGAATGTCTGACCAAACATTGTCTCATTCTACTTCCCATCGCACTACGTATGTACATTTCAACTGACCTAAGTAGTTGATTACTTTTCTTTATTATTTGTAAGTTTTATTGCATTAACTGCGAATTA